AGCCATTTTCACTTACCGCCATAAAGCACTAGGCATACTGCTTATAATTATTTGCCATTTGTCTCCTCCCCGGGAGCTGAAGCCCTCTGAGGGCAGGGCCCATGTCTCAGCCATGTCTGCACTCCAGGTAACCAGCACAGTGACTGGAACATTCATCAGATATGCAGAGAGGTCACCATGTGCCAGGCATAGCTGCATAAGTACAATGAACAAGGCAGTGGCAGTTTCTAATGGAATGACAAACAAATACATTAAAAAGACACTTACATAGTTTTTTAAATTGGGATTAGGGCTGTGAAGAAGACAGAGCAGGGCAGTGTGACAGAGGGACGAGGACATGAGCTAGATGAAGGCTTAGTAGTCAGGGCAGGTAACGTTCGGGCTCAGAGGACGAAAAGGAGCTAGTCATGTTTAGAGCAGGGGTGAAGAGTCCCATACACAGGGAACAGCAAGTACAAAGGCTCTGAGACATGAATCATCTGGGTTTGTTGGGGAAAAAAAATGAAGGCAGGTCTGCCTGGCACTAGTAAAGTAGGGGAAGAGGGGAGGACAAGAGGTCAGAGAAGCAGGTGGGGCTGGAGAGTGCAGGCTACACTGAGAAGTTTGGACTTTAAGAACACAGAAAGCTGCTGGACAGTTTCAGGTGGGGAGTAACAGAATCTGATTTACATTAAGAAATCACATTGGTAGTCACAGACTTCCACAGACAGACAAGTTAGGAGACTCTGCAGTGAGGGGCTTGGATGGCATGGTGGCAGCGACAGTGGACAGAAACAGACAGATGAGATGACGAATTTTGAAGAGCTGGTTGGCAGGGCTTGCTACCGAACACGGGAAGTAAGGTGTGGCAGAGAGGAATCGAAGATGGCATCTGAGGACTGGAGCCAATTTACCAAGACGGGGGAAGAGAAGCAAACATCTACTGTCGTGGACTGAGAACGCTTCAGATGCCTACTGGGTGTGCACGTGGAAAAGAAGCACGTACCAGGTACTTAATATATACTTTTAATAACTAAGACTTTGAGGACGATAGACTCACCTGAAGTCAGACATACCATACAGCACTCCAACCTTGACTAACTCTGTTTACTGCTTCCAAGGTTACAGAGACAAACAAAATAATAAGTTACTGAAGTAACGAGAAGTCTCAGTTCATTTGATGAACTGTCATTTTTGGCTGCTACTGATGTTCCCTGGACCAGATTTTTAATACAAAGGTGCTGAATTTTGTGTCAGAAGTTTTAGACAAATGCTGTAACTCAGTTCTAGTATTTGTGTCACTTAGAGAAGGTCTTCTAGACACTGGAGTGGTGAGCTGCCGAGAAGAGCGAGCAACGACTCACCAAATCACTTTTACTCAAGAATAATTAAACACCATTTATGAAGCTACTGGGAGTCAAAGGTTTTTATGCTTTTGGCAATGATTTACCTTTAAAAATTCATACTTATTGAGATGCAATTTGCACAGAGTAAAATGTAGTTTTTAGTGCACAGGTCTGAGTTATGACAAACACATACAGTTAAGTAACCAAGTAACCAACCACCCAAACAACCAAGATACAGAAGAGCTTCTCACCCAAAATAGCTCCTTCAGGTCTTTTTGTAGTCAGTCTCTCCACCGCCCCTGGATGCTGGCAAGCAACCGCCTGCATTCTGTCCCATTATCTTTTTAAACTCCAGAATAGTCTTAACAAACTTAATGCCTCTTATCCACAGATGCCTGACAACCCCACTTATCTTGAAAAATACGGTATGTGAAATATCAGAACCACCTAAAAAGTATTTAATGACCTCGTAAGAAAAAAAAGCCACCCATTCCAATTATTAAGGATTGGATTCAGGCCTCCAAGCCAGAATTTATAACTTTTCTCTAAGATGTTCTTCATCTAGTAATTGGCCTGGATGAAACAACGACTTTTAATATACACTCAACAACAAGATTTACACACTTTTTCATCAGCAACCAGAGGTTTTGTGGATTGCTATCTCATCTAAAAAGTTAATTAGGACATAAAACATTACATATCCTCACAGTGGTTTCACATATGATTTTCTGTAACAGGAAACTGGTAAATATGAATTCGATTAAACTTCCAAGTTAATCTCATTTGTAAAATCCTGTAATAATACTGCTTTAATAATACTATTCCTCTTTGAAATTTAAAAAATATTTTGTTTTGACGAATATACATGATATTTAAGTTTGAAATGTACACTATTATTAATATTATTCAATTGGGTCAGTCTTTGTTAAATCTACTATGAAAGCAGGTACTTAACTTGAGCTGCTGGGATATATTTAAATTTCATACTCTTATTTAGAGGGAATGATGCTCAGTGTAATTTATTTAAAAAGTAATTTATTAATTGATTCTTAATCAGTCTGAATGAACGCATCTTCCATGATGAGTTAGAGACAGTGGCACACAGTCCAGTGGTTAAGGCCTTGGGCTTTGGAATCAGAAAGACCTGGGTTCTACACCCACTCTGTGACTGACTGGCTGTGCACACCCCAGGCAAGTAACCTCCTGCCTCACTGAGCCCCGGTTTCCTCCTCAGTTAAATGTGAGTAACACCGCTACCCAACTCAGCATGAATGCTAGGGCTGGGGACCAGGTGTGGCACATATAAATGTGCTCAGTAAATGTAAGCTATCATGTAGCAGACGGAACTTCCATTTAAAAAACACTGCAATGTTCTACTACTCAGCATTCGCTTTGAAACAACAGGGAAAGTGACTTTATTTATGTTTTACAGACGGCAAAGCGAGGGACCCGGACGGCTGAACGGAGAGCAGACGCACTGGCTCAGGGCACACGGTTAAAGCAAAGCAGAAAGGCACCAGGCCGTGCAGACAACTCTGGTAATTTAAGGCCTGAGGCTACTGTCCTTTCTAAAAGTGGGTTTTACTTTCACTTTTTAAAGCTATTTTTTTACTGGGGGGAGGCAACTTAGTCTTTTAAAAATTTATTATTATTATTATTTTAAACAGAGGAACAGGGGATTGAACCCAGGACCTTGTGCAATCTAGGCACACATTCTACCACTGAGCTTTACCCTCCTCCCACTTTAATTTTTTTTTTAAAGAAATAAAGATACTTTGATAAAAGTCCTAAGAGAGCCAAGGATGAATACAGGAGAGATCTGCATGGTGTAGTTCTGCTTTTGGTGCAGGAAAAAGGCCTCTTATCCGTTAACTTTCTCTGTGTGTAAAAAGGAATTTCAGTAAGTGGGAGTTCATTCTGTGGAGCCAACTGCATCAGAACAGCTGACTGGACACTGTTCACGTCTGAAATAACTTTGAAAACTTAGTTTAAAATGGAAATAAGTCTTTCACATTTCTCCCCTTGCCCCCCTTATTCTTTCAAAAATATTATAATAGTTATTTATTCCCTACTATTCTTTATAGGCAAATTTATGGTGCTCATAAAATGTTAAACTAAGTTAGAAGGAAACTGAGAGGACAGCCAGTCCAATCCTTTTCTTTTCAGGGAGAGAATGATGGGAACTAAAATAAAATAAAAGCCAAAGTGTGCACGGGACCAAAAGTCCTAATGTCCCACTACTCTTTCCACTACAAGGGTACCAAACACTTAGGCTGGGCAGTCACCAGGGCGCCTCTGTGTCCACACAGACACCATCCAGCACATCACTGCTTCCTTCTCACCTTAACACCTGACAGTCCCAGAGTCACCACACTCAGCCTAGCGGCTGCCAGGGACAGTGACCATGTACTGAGTGATCTAGTAAACGTAAACCCAAAATTCCCAGCTTAAAATGTGAAGACATTTTTCCTTCCTTCCATTGTGTCTCAAATTTTAGAAATAAATTAATTAAACAGTTAAGAGCAATAATGATCATATCAAAAAAAAGTTGAATTCCACACACTAAAAATGCAGTTGAAGGCTGTGAGATAAACTTACCTCATCAAAAATTTAAAAAATAAACAGAAGCAAAATTGATCTACGGCGAAAGAAATCAGAAAGTGGTTGCCTGGGGCCAGAAGCTGACTGGGAAGGGGCAGGTGGGGCAATGGAAGTGTTCTGTATCTCGACAGAGATGTGCTCAAACTGTATGCTTAAGATCTGGGCATTTCACTGTTTGTAAATTATACCTTTCCAAAAAAACCCACAAAAAACAAAAAAACTAAACTACTCATGTGGAAAATTCAGATTTTAAAATTCTCACCCAAAGGAGGGACTTGAACCGAGATCCAGCTGGTGAAAGGCAATGGCCAAGCTGATAGAGATCTTCCCAAAGCTGCCTTTCTGTTCAACTGTTCATGAGAATAACAACCACTGTGCCAGAACTCGTGTACAAGGAAAGCGAGTAAAGAGTTTCTTTGAAGCTAAGCAGATGAATGGATTCTGCCTTACCAGGAATGAGTACCACTTAAGAATTGTGTACACTGCTGCGAAGTGCATTTAGAATTCAGTCATAGAACCTCATCCTAAAGACCACAGAGAACTTAAGACCTTTACAGATAAGGAAGGCAAGGTCTAATACAGTGCTCTGAGTAAGTTTTCACATTTCTATTTCCCATACTACTTTCCTATAAAAACTTGAGTGTGTATGACATTCTGCCGACTACATATCAAATTTGGTAACAGAGTTTTGACAAAACAAGAAGAGTAATAAAATAGAAAAACTGGTCCTTCTCTGGCTGACAAGCAAGCACATGATGTAGGCTTAGGAACCACAGATGGACATGAGCACAGATCGGTCACAGATACTGCCCTGTGAGTTCTTATCGCCATGAGACAAAGGGGAGAAGAGGGCAAATTTGGAGTTCAAGTTATAGTTAGAAAGGGAAGACAAACTTCTCACCTCTTTTAGCAAAGTTCACTGAAATTATAAATTTTAGCATACATTAGTAAAAGGTCTGGTGTAATGTCCAGCATACCGACAAATGGCAGCTGTTTAAGAAAACAATACATCCTGTGCCTAGTGAAGAATCCACGGGACAATGGCCTTCCCTCTTCTCTGACCGTCATACGTACCAAATCTGGCTTCACTCGGTGAGTCAGGGGGAAGGAGAGCCACGTGGAGTACAAGGTGGTGAGCACCGTGGAGAGCCAGGACTGCTGGACCTCGCGGCTCCTGGGAATGCGGTGAATGCAGTACTGGGGAAACTAGAAGGAAATAGTGAAAACCCAGATCAATTTGGCCACTGACACCAAAGTCAAACACAGTAACAGCATACATTTGTACGAACAGGAAATGCTTTCTTGATTATTTTAAATTTTCACTGTAACTTCTTTTAATTTATAAAGACTTTTGTGTTTTATACAACACGAATCATTGGTTTATGACAAAAAGGCTCCTAAATGTGATTCCAAAATGTTAAAGTCAGTATTGGGAATAAGTTGGGGGAAATTTCCTATAAAATATGTTTTAGGCAAAGAGCTAATATATTAATATACAAAGAGTTCTCACAAATCAATATAGAAGACAAATAACCAGTATCAAGGTAAACAAAGGAGGTGAGCAGACAATTCCAAACAGAAGAAACACAAACGGCCAATAAACATATGAAATGATGGTTAACAATTAAACACAGAAGAAAGTAATGAGGCATTTTTCACCTACCCGACTGGCAGAGATTACGGATACTCAGCGTTGTTGAGGAGGCAAGGACACAGACATTGGGCGAGTACACCGGTGCAACGTTTTGGGAGAGCAATTTGGAAACATCTGTCAGAATTTTAAGTTTGTCTACTTTTTTTTAATTGAAGTATACTTGATTTACAATGTTGTGTTAGTTTCTGGTGGATAGCATGGTGATTCAGTTTTATATATATATATATATGAAATCTTTTTCATCACAGGTTATTGCAAGCTATTGAATACTGTGCCATACAGTAGGACCTTGTTGTTTATAAATGTGTCAACTTTTGATCTAGCCTTCCTGCTTCCAGAAATATATTCCACAGATTTGCCCACACGCCGTCCACTGTACCACTGTTCGTATTTGTGGAACTGAAACAGCCCAGATAGCCTCGCATAGGGAACGGAGAAGTCTACATGATAAAATATACGAAGACACATGAACAAATAACACAGATTTACATGAACATACATGCAAGGTGTGTCCAGATAAACTGTTAAGAGTCAGTGTGCACATTGCAGGGCAGTATGTTTAACGTGAGCCAATGTGTATTAGCAACGCACGCAGCTGTGTGTTTGTATACATACATGTACACAAATTAATGTCTGCATGAAGAAAATCTAGAATTGTTTGCCACAAATTGTATCTGATGAGGAAAGGATTACACAGGGGATTGAATACCAGAAGGCGAGAATCACTGGGGGTTTCCTAGAACCTGGCTACCACAAACGTTATGTCAGTGCCGAGTGAAGGACTAAACATCTAACACACACCCGCCCCCAGCTTTGGCCTTGAGGAGCAACATGCTTTTTGAGAAAAGAACAGAAAAGCTTTTTCCTAAACTAGTGGAAGACACAAAACTACTGGTCCTAAGGTTGTGTGCGTTTAGTGAAAGGTGTGAAATTGTGCGTGGGGGCTTGTGTAACGCTGCAGGATGGCACGAATGTCGCTCCCACGGACCGTGCATGTGACCGCTCCGCTTCAGACACGATGGGAAAGGGCATTCCCTCCTCCTCCCATGTTGCACCCGTGGAGAAGGAGCGATCTGGGCTCAGTGTTATTCACTATTTGTACTTACTTATTCATCATTTATTAAATCGATGTTTTTTCTTTCTTTCCAAAGGATTAAGGTGCTAAATGCTGAACTAGAAGATAATACCGAACAGTTCCCAAACTAGAGACCGCAAGGAGCAGCATCCAAGAGGGGGCAGCCTCGTAAGGACTCCTGTTTGAGGCTTGTATTTGCCTGATTTATGGAGATTATTAATTGAAAAGCATGTAATTGGTAAAAGAGTGCTGAAGCCAAGTCCCCTTAAAACCAAATTCCCTCACCGAGTTTATGATTAATTCCTCTGTCCAAAATTTTATTCCCTTTCTTGTCCTCTCTGACCTCAATCCTGTGCTGACTGAACCCCAGTCTAACAGTCAGATGACTAAAACCGCTGCTGTGGGTAACGTGTTAATGTACTAAAACTGCTATCACAGACACCACTAACATACAAACCCAGACGGCTCCTCCAAGGCAAGATGATCTAGCAGATCCCCGAGCCGCGGACCACATGGCCTGAGGTTCATAAACCAGGGACAGATGGATGCTCGAAACTGTGACTAAGAAATGTCACAAGACACTTAATCCCTGCCTTTGTTCCTCCCTTTAAAACACCCCTAACTCAGACAGCAAGTGGGAGTGGGCCTGAGGCTCGTCTCCCACTCCCTTGCTTGGGGCCCTGCAATAAACCCTTACTTTGCTGCAAACTCTCGCTGTCAGAGTCTGGCTTTCTGCACTGTGGGCACATGTGCCCTTCACTCGGTTTCAGCAATACAGACACCAAATCCGTTATCAGAAACCATTCAGAAGATCAAGCCCTACACAAAGTCTTTTTTGCCGAGGCGTGGCGGATGCTATGATCCACATCTTTGACCTGGGGCATAAGAGGGCAAAAGTGGGTGAGTTCCCACTCTGTGGCCACATGGGGTCAGATGAGTATGAGCAGCTCTCCTCTGAAGCCCTGGAGGCTGCCCATATTTGTGCCAACAAGTCCATGGTGAAAAGCTGTGGCTAAGATGGTTTTCACAACCGAGCACGGATCTGACCCTCCCATGTCATCTGCATGGACAAGATGTTGTCCTGTGCTGACAGGCTTCAGATAAGTATGTGCAGGGCCTTTGGAAAGACCCAGGGAAGACACCAGCCAAGTCTTCACGTCCATCCACATCAAGCTATGGAACAAGGAGCATGTGGCTGAGGCCCTGTGCAGGACCAAATTCAAGTTCCGCCACCACCAGAAAGTCCGTATCTCCAAGAAGTGGGGATTTACCAAGTTCAATGCAGATGAGTTCGAAAACATGGTGGCAGAAAAGTGGCTCATTTGGGATGACTGTGGGGTCAAATACATCCCTAATCATGGCCCTCTCAACAAATGGCCAGCCCTGCACTCACGAGAGCCTTGGTGCCACCCCCTCCTTACTCATTCCCAGCAATGAATCCTACTTCCTTGTCTGAAAAAAAAAAAGAAAAAAAAAGAAAAACCCAAAACTCTTTTGGTTCAGAAGTGTTTCAAACAGGTAATAATGGTGCACATACCATTTATTACATAATATTCACGTTTGATGTTTGGAGAAGTAACCAAACACATTAATATTTCTGCAGCAAGACGCAAACAGTCACACTAAGTAGGATAAAGACTGTAAGCCTCACGTCAGCTCAAACCAGGATTTGTTGTCAAATGAACTTGTGACAAACTCGGGACTTCTTTGTTCTCCCCTCAGTTCTCTTGAGTTTTTTCAGATGAGGGACCATGGACCTGTAATACAAAACACACTTGAACCCAATCAGATGTCATTATTATTATAGTAAAAATAACCCAGTAGGGCCTTATTATAAACGATTTTTGACGTGACTTCCACATTTTGAGGCCTGACCTCAATAGCTGTGATATTTTCTTCAGAAAAGCCTGGGTGTGTTCCTGAACGCAAGCTGGTGCGCCCAACGCACAGGCAGGCCAAACTGAAATATGGGAGCTTAGAGCAGAGAAAGGTTCACTACAGGGCTGGGCAAGGAGAACGGGTGGCTCATGCTCAAAAACCCCAAACTCTCCCAATGGTTTTCAGGGAGCAGTTTCTGACAGGCAGAATTCAGGGTGAGGGCGGCAGGGCCCGTGGCTTTCTTCTGTTTGTTGATGAGGTAACAGGGCAGTGCCCCAGGCGTCTTGTGCTCAGCCTGAAGGTCCATCCCCCAGCTGGGTGGGGCCCTAGCCCCTACAGAAGAACTCCAAGGGATTGTTACGCATGTTCCTTGAGGAGGAACCAGGACCCTGCTTTAACGCCCCCGCTGCTGCACCATCTTTCCCGATCGCTCCTCCTTCGTGTCTGCATTCCCTTACTTCTCGGATGAGTAACCATTTGCATCTGCTCTTTGGTACTCAGGAAGGTCTAGGAGGCTGAAGTCTTCGTCCTATGGAAAGGACTGGTACCGGGAGGGCCTCACAGGGTCCTGCTTGGTCTCAGGCGTTTACCACATCCCTTAAATCTTCTAAAGCTGTGAGCATACAACTTTGCGAAGAAGCAATGAACACCGTTTCTGGATATTTTTAGTGTCCTGAGGGACCAGTTCAACTCTGGCTCTGGAAGCCCAGCTCCTCTGACTCCCTCTGAGCTCCAGAGAGGCAGACACAGCGGCCTGGCAAGGCCTATGCAAGGTGTCTGGGTTTGGAGACAGCTCTCTTAGACCTGGACACGGAAGAAGAGCCTGCAGAGGTACAGGCTGAGGGAGCAGAGAAAATGGGATTGTGGGCTCCAGTCCCTTCCCAGAAGAAGGAAACTAGAAAAACAGCCCTGAGGGTAAGGGAAAAAGGTGGTAACAAAAGAGTGATGACCTCTCTTTTGACTTCAGATCAGTCGCCAGGCTGAGGAGGGGAGTCTCAGTTCCATTTGCGGGCTGGTGCTAACTGGACCAATGACGGCATGCCTACAGCGATCACTCAGCCAGTTTGCACAGGATGATCCCAGTTTACACCTGTGGTTCCAGCATAATTATTAAAAGTGCCCCTGCTCACAGAAATCCCCCAATTTAAATGATAAAGTATATAGTTACCCATAGGGCTGGGCAGTGAGGAGCTTCTTCCAAGTCACAGGAAAGGAAATTTATTCAGAACATCCTGATGCAACATGATGCAAGAGTCTACATTACTGTCAAGGAAGAGAGTTTAAGAGGTGGCTGGGAAGGAAGCCAAGCTGGAGGCCCTACCAGAGAGATAAACAGGAAAACAGAAAGGTGGTGTGACCAGCATGGGGAAAGGCGGAGTGGCGGGGGCCAGAACCACAACCCTCCCTGGCCAGGGACAGGAGGGTCCATACGGTGCCAACTCTCTGGCTTGCGCTCTACCCTACAGAGGCCTGTACCCCTGAACCCCATCCAAGTCTTCCTCACATTACGACATTAGGTAAGTTCCGGTAGGTACCTGGAAATCCTACCAAAAAGGAGCTCTCTCTCCAAATCCAAGTCTCCTCCCTCCCTCCCGTCCC